CAGGAACATGACTTGGACATACATGGCCTACCAGCTGGTGGTTCAACCACTAAACCCAGTTTGGATCAGATAATAACTATCAGACAATGATTTTCGATATTTACCAGAGGGCTGAAGTTGTCCAAGAAGGTTCTTCACGGCTGTTTTCTTCTCTTCTGTAGCGCAGCTCAGGGTCTCATGGTCCAACAGCTTCAACAGCACATTCAACTCTGTCACCAAGAGCTCCATCGCTGAAGGTCAAAGCTCAGGGTTAGAGGTTGATACAGACCAGATTATACAATAAGTGTTTGTCAAAACAACAGATTAATAAGACCAACCATCAACCCATCAGCATGAATAAGCAAACGAAAACAAGTGTCAGTTTGTCAGTTGCAGAGGATTTTGGTCAAAGACGTGATAATCATGTATGTCCTATTTGTTATGTTTTCAGAAATACATTCAAATTCACACATAAAATTACTTGACTACACATCATTTAATATAATCATGTTTTTATTTTTTAATTAAAATTAATTTAGATTTTTTTTTTGGTGAAGCATAAATAAAAAAATAATAATTGAGTGCAAACTTATAACAATATGCAACCGTAAGAAATAAGAACTTTGTGACCCTAACCCTAGATTTTCAAAAGATTTTTCTGTTTCTTGATCGTGGGCACTCATTGACACTTTTGAGGACAGGGGATAGCGGGCTTAAGATCAACTCGGGTCTTCATCATTAATCATCCGTCTATGACTTTCAAAAGCTAGTAAAGCTAATATGACTGAATCAGAAAGGATCTAGATGCATGGTTCTTTGTAACATTATATTCCACAGAGTGTCTTCAGTATGGACATACATGTCAGCAGACAATACGAGTTATGGGCATGGGGGATGATGACGGGTCAGAAGAATTATAAATTGGAACAGGTTTGGAGCTCAAAACTTCATGCTGGGACCCTCAAGCTCTCTTCCAGGTCTCTGTGGGACGAAAACCGCCCTGCTGGAGAAACCAGAAACCCCTGTGTAGAGTCAAAGACGTACCATCTGATCTGAGGCGAGCTTCCCATCCCACATAGCAAGCTCACAGAGAGCATCAGAGGAGGGTCCAAGCCCAATAAATACATTAAAAGTCTGACATCTAAGCTCCCTCAAGACAAGTTAAGACAGTGGGTTA